AAGAGAATAAAATCATGGCATTTGCAGGGAAATAGATAGAGTTGGAGAAGATAATGCTAAGTGAAGTTAGTCAGTACCTCCAAACCAAATGCCGAATGTTTTCTCTGATATAAGGTGACTGACTCACAGTGGGGTAGGGGAGGGGAGCATGGGAGGAATAGACAAACTATAGATAGGGCAGAGGGGTGGGAGGGGAAAAGAGGGGGCATGAGTTTAGCAATGATGGTGAAAAGTGATGGACATCATTATCTAAAGTACATGTATGAAGACACGAATTGGTGTGAACATACTTTATATACAAACAGAGATATCAAAAATTGTGCTCTATATGTTTAATAAAAATTGTAATGCATTTTGCTGTCATGTATTTTAAAAATAAAATCAATTAAAAAAGAAAAACTACTGCTAGGAAAAAACTTTTAAAGTTCGATTAATTTAACTAATAATAATAATAATAATAATAATAATAAATAAGAGTTAGCCTTTTTTTCAATTTTTTAAAAATTCTAATTGCATAGATGATGAAAAGGGCACAGAGAAATTAATAACACCAAGATAAAATACAGGACACTCAGTAAAATCTGAATTTCGGGAAAACAAAGAATATGTTTTAGTGTAAGTATGTTCCATGACATCTTGGATTATTATTCATTGTTCATCTTGAGTTCAAATTTAACTGTTTTTTTTTTCTTCTTCAAAATCTGGTAACGCTTGAAGTCAAATAACTGACCCAAGGCTACACAGTAAGAACTGAAATGCCCATTCTACTCTGCCTGGAGGCTCTCCATCCCCGTCTGATGTCAAACACTAATGGAAAACAGAAGAGTGTTTAATCAGACTCTTGCTGCCCCACAAGAACCTAGAATCCAAATAGAGTTCTACCTGAGTGCCTATTAAGGGACATGAAAGTCTTTTCCTTAAGCATTTGTGTATTTCTATTTTTCTGGGATTTTAAGGTTCTTACAGGTGGCGCCATGTCTAATGTGTCCCTCGTGTGCTGCACAGTGGCTCCCAATGGAAGCTTATTCTGTTACCTTTAAAAGTAGCCTTGGGTATGGTGCCATACCCAAGGATGGTGCCAGTGGGCTCTCCTGACTTCTTCTATCTCCAGGCTTCATTTGAATCCAGTTTCGAGTGTGAGAGGGAGGGCTCTCTGTGTAGATACTGGTGTTCTTCTAACATCAGAACTAGGACCGGAGAGATGGATAGGGTTCAGGCCTGGCATCTGATCCCAGCTTTGGCCCTTCTTGCCTCGTAAATCCAGTCCCTGGACTTACCTCTGGGGAGTAACCAGGTTAGCCTTACAGCCCCTCGGAGCCAAGACTTCTACAGCTTGTTGACTGCGGATGGTTCCCAAGTGGGGACTGGGCATCTGATAGCAAGGGCAGCTGTGTGGAACTGTTCCCTGTGGCGGCATTCCTGTGAACAGCTATTGACAAGGCTGAGGGGTGACTTCTCTTCAGGAAGAGAATGAACTAGACAGCCTGGGAGTAATCGTGGTGCATAGGCACCAGATCATGTTGATCTCATCAACAATGATTATAGTAACTTAAAATTGTTAAAATGATCGGTCTTACTACAAGTGAGGATTAATAAAATTCTCAAGTGAATGTGGGAATATACGAGAGAGATGAAATGCTCATATCTAAGATCCACCATTGTCCTACTGGGAAGGTCAAAGTGTTCCTCTAAGTGTTATGCATTGAGAATTTAAGTAGTGCCACTGAGGGCCATTGATACTCTCAATGGATTGACTGCTGAATGGTTTATTTGTGTCTGCACCTGTTTCAAGCTTGTGCTCTGGGACTATTGGTACTGTATGTTGTCCAGCTTTCTGGAATAATAGAAATATGCTGCATGTGTTGGCCAATATAGTAACCACTAGCCTCACTGAAAGTGTTTCATCTACTGACCTGATTTTAGTCTTTCTTCTCATCTAAGCTACTTTTGGAAATTCACCTGGATCCTCCCACTGATGGATAGCAAGGATCCTGGCCTACAGTGCAGGAGCTTGAGCCTACTTTGCCTGCATCCCACAAACCAAATTTGTTCTCTCATCTTTAGCAGTTCTCTTCTGTCTTGTCTTTTAAAGAGTAAGATCCCTGGATGATACCCTGGGCAGAGAGTTTGGCACTCTTAGTGGTTTCCAATCCTTAACATTTCAACTTGGAATAACTTCCTGATATTATTATTTGAATGAAGTCTTAGGGGATCTCACCTCCCCTCTGAACTATCTTCTGTGGCAGCATCTCCTTTTCTGAGTTTGAAAATGTCTCGGCTTCATCTGAGCTGACTTCTCTTCCTGCAGTACCTGGTAAGGTTCCCTCTTCCCCAAGGCCTTGTCCCCTGACTTCACTGACCAGCTCCCCTGACTATCCAGGACCAGCAGTGTCCATTACCCTAAGGGATCTCTGCTTTCTGACCACAAAAGAAAATGTCAATTTTGGCTTTTGCCAAAATCAACTTCTAAAAAAGTCTGTATTATTCAGCTCTCTGTTACTATGAGCAAATACCTAAGATAATCAACTTAAAATGAG